TGTGCTGTGTTACTCTGGAAAACCCCTTCATGCTTCAGTGCCTTACATTTTTCTGCAACCATCCTCGCCCATCTTTGCAAAGTATTGCATAAAAATGCAAAGGATCATATTACATTGTTATTGGAGGTCAGTAACAACCTTCACAGTATTAAAGATCTGTGCATATGTAGATAATCAGTCACCATGGCAATAGGACAGTATATGATCACTATTTTTCATGTGTTACTAAAAGGTCTGTAACTAACAGTTTTAGACATTCTCATGTTGTATAGTCCTTAATAGCCATCTTAACACCAGTCTTTCATCTTACACATTGCATTTAGAATTTTATTTCATATTAGATTATAAAGTTCCTCTTGCACCACAGCAAATGTCTGAAAAATTGTGAGTATATTGATGAGATAAGCAAAGTACATTGTTTCAGGTTAGTATCTTAAAATATGTCCATACAATACAACTAAGCGAACTGTTTTGTGTGACTGATCATGGAAGTGTTACTCATATACTCAAAATATGACACTTATAACATCCTGTTTTCATTTTTATGATAAATGCTCACATTTTGACATCTCTGAAATTCTGAATCTCAGAGTTAACATGGGTTTACACTACAGCTCCTTGAACTGAAAGAGTATTTTCTATGTTGCTCCATTTTTGAACCGTTACCTTGAGTTTGTGCCTGATTTAACACCATAGAACTCCTCAGGCCTTTTCCTTGGTCTTTATAGAAAAGTAGGAATCCACTCACTGTTCATCAGTATTAAGGATGCTAATTTAGGAAAAGCTTTTATTAAAAACAAACAAACAAAAAATGGAACAAAAAAATTTGTCCTTTCCTACTCACCCCTACAGTCGCTTATACTGGAATTACAATCAGCTCAATAGAGCTTGGGTAAGATAGCAATCATTACATTGAGGGGGCAGTGGAAATATTCTCTACCATTTGAACAAAGTTTCCTGTCAGTTGCTGGGCTCTGCAGAAGTACATACTTAAACACAGTACCTAGAAGAATGCTATTTTTAGTACAGCAGTGTACTTTAAAGAATTTCCTGTTCAGAAAGAGTTATACCGAAAGTAAAAGGAGAGGTTGTAATGGATCTTTTTGCCTCAGAACACCAACATACCCCTTACACAGAATCCACACTACTGCCAGTTTGTTTAATCTTCCAGAGAAACTGCAAGATAAAATGACTAATTATTTAAAAATACAACATCCCCTGGGGAGGACAAGTCTTAAATAAACCTGCAGAATAGGAAACTCAAGCACACAGCAAGTTTTTATATAAGGGAGGCGGAAGGGTGGTGGGGGAAGGACACAGGAGGATGGAAGAATTAGAACAAGAATCTGGGTCCCAGTCTTGTATTAAATAGTTCCAGCTTTGATCTAAATTTAGGTAATGAACACTTCCTGTGGGAAACTATTTTCCAAAGCCGAAAACTTTTTGATGGTAAAATATTTTCAGTGATTTTATAATTGGGGCAAAGTGGTTATTTGTTCAGGATCCTGGCTTTCAGTTAGATAAATGCTTTCAGTATTCTATACTTACCATGACTTCCTCTTTTACTTGATGTTGGATTGCTCTTGTTCAACTCAAGTTTTCACAAAGTCTTAATTAAGTAAGGCTTGAAATTGTATTAAAATGAAGTAAAACAAAACAAGAACCACCAAAAACTACACTTACTTCAGAGTTCCAGTGTTTTCACAAAACTGCTGCCATTTATGATATTTTTGACATTTCCTATCCTGCCTCTGGACTAAATTTCAGTGGGTGCATCTACACGAGATAATTCACTGTGCATTAGACTAAGCTAATGTGCAGTAAAGCATCAGTGTCTACACATGAACAGGATTTACTCTGCAGAAATTAGGTTAACGTGCCATTTGCTAGTACCAACAAATACAAGTACTAGATTAATGGCACATTAGCTACTGTGCAGTAGTGCATGTGTACATGCTGACTGGGAGCAATTTGCTGAACTGGGAGCTGAGCAGCATTGGGACGGGAGAGCTCTGTCTCCAGTCCCGGCATTGCTCCCCACATGGCTCCCCCCATGC